GGTCTGAGTTGAGGCCGTGGGTCAGGGGGGAGTGTCAGGCTCAAGGACTGCGGCCTGGGCACGTTGAAGTCGGGGTTCATTGGGATGGACTGGCGCAGTTCTGCTTGGAATGCTTACCAGAGTTGCCCATGGCACGTTTTCCTTTTTAGTGAGATCTCAGCAGGCTGAGATCTCTGGCCCTGGTCAGGTGTCTCAAGTCCTTGGGGCTTTGGAGCCATGCTCTGGGGACCGAGTGCGCCGAAGCCAACCTAGGGTTAGGCTTAGGGCTGAGGGACATGACAGGCCTGATGTAGCTGTGCTGTGATGAGCTGCCCGGGGTCTGAGTTGAGGCCGTGGGTCAGGGGGGAGTGTCAGGCTCAGGGATTGCGGCCTGGGCATGTTGAACTCGGGGTTCGTTGGGATGGACCAGCACAGTTCTCCTGCTCGGAATGCTTACCGGAGTTCCCAATGGCACGTTTTCCGTTTTAGTGGCAGGCTGAGTCCTCCGGCACTGGTCAGGTGTCCCCAGTCCCTAGGGCTTTGGAGCTAGGCCCCTGGGGGGACAGACCCATCAGAAGCCTCCGTAGGGTCACCATTAGGGCCTAGGGGCATGGCAGACCTGACGTGCAAGGTTGTAGCCGGCTCTGGGAGGTTTGTTTTGAGGGCGAGGGTCAGGTTGAGCGTCAGATTCAGGGTTCGCCGCCAGAGGGCGCCAAATTTCTGCATTGGGTAGGTTGGGCATTCAGATTTCTCGGGTTCTGAATGCTTTCCGGAGTTGAAAGTAGTGTGTTTGAATTCTTTTTGGCATTTGATTCCTCTGGTGTCGCTCAGTTACTGCTACCCCTGGGACTCTGTAGCCAGGCTCCGAGGACAGTCCGCTCAGTTGCCAAGCTAGGGTGAGGCTTAGGGCCTAGGGGCGTGACAGGCCTGATGTGCCGGCGCTGTGATGAGCTTCCCGGGGTCTGAGTTGAGGCCGTGGGTCATCAGGGAGTGTCAGGCTCAGAGACTGCGGCCTGGGCACGTTGAACTCGGGGTTTGTTGGGATGGACCGGCACAGTTCTGCTCGGAATGCTTACCGGAGTTGCCCATGGCACGTTTTCCTTTTTAGTGGCAGGCTGAGTCCTCTGGCCCTGGTCAGGTGTCCCAAGTCCCTGAGGCTTTGGAGTCAGGCTCTGGGGACAGAGCGCTCAGAAGCCAACCTAGGGTGAGGCTTAGGGCTCAGGGGCATGACAGGCCTGGAGTGCCGGCGCTGTGATGAGCTTCCCGGGGTCTGAGTTGAGGCCGTGGGTCAGCGGGGAGTGTCAGGCTCAGGGATTGCGGCCTGGGCATGTTGAACTTGGGTTTTGTTGGGATGGACCGGCACAGTTCTCCTGCTCGGAATGTTTACCGGAGTTCCCCATGGCACGTTTTCCTTTTTAGTGGCAGGCTGAGTCCTCTGGCCCTGGTCAGGTGTTCCCAGTCCCTAGGGCTTTGGAGCCAGGCCCCTGGGGACAGACCCTTCAGAAGCCTCCGTAGGGTCACGGTTAGGGCCCAGGGGCACGGCAGGCCTGACGTGCAAGCAATGTAGCCTGCTCTGGGGGGTTTGTCTTGAGGGAGTGGGCCAGGTTGAGTATCAGGCTGATGGTTGGCCACCTGAGGGCACCAAATTTGTGCATTGGCTGGGATGGGCATTCTGAGTTCTCTTGTTCGGAACGCTCTCCGGAGTTGCAAGTAGTGTGTTTGAATTCTTTTTGGCATTTGAGTCCTCTGATGTCCCTCAGTTACTGCCATCCCTGGGGCTTTGGAGCCAGGCTTCTGGATACGGAAACTTAGAAGCCAACCTAGAGATAGACTTAGGGCCTAGGGTCATTGGATCCCTGATCTGGCCACGCTGGGGCAAGCTTTGGGGTGCGGGGGATCCGAGTTGGGGGTGTGGGTCAGGCTGAGTGTGAGGCTCATGGTTTGCGGACAGGGGGCCTTTGACAGTGGCATTTGGCTGGGATGGGCACGCAGAGTTCTCCTACTCGGAAAGCTTTGCCCCAGTTCCCAATGGTGCGGTTTCCTCCTGGGAGACAGGGTGCATCCTCTGGTATTCCTCCAGTGCCCCCGATCCCTGTGGCTTTAGAGCCAAGCCTCTGGGGCCAGAGCCCTCAGAAGCCAGCGAGGGATAGGGTGCGGGCCTAGTGGCACGGCAGGCCTGATGTGCCAGCACTGTGGCCTGCTTCCCCGGGGTTTGTCTTGAGGATGTGGGTCAGGTTGAGTGTCAGGCTCAGGGTTGGCCACCAGAGGGCGCAAAATTTGAGCGTTCCTTGGGATGGGCATTCAGAGTTCTGCTCTGAATGCTTTCCCGAGTTCCCAGTGGCGCGTTTTCCTTCCGGGTGGCAGCCTGAGTCCCTCGATATTGCTCGGGTGTCCTGAATCTTTGGGTCTTTGGAGCCAGGTTCTGGGGACTGACCCCTCAGCAGCAAACCCAGGGTAAGGGTTAGGACATAGGGGCACGGGACGCCTGATGTGCCAGCGCTGCGTCGAGGTTCCCGGGGGTGAGGGTCGAGGGCGTGGGTCAGCGTGAGTGTCTTTAGTCAGCGTGAGTGTCTTGCTCTTCTATTCGGCCAGGGGACTGCTGAAAGTGTGGGTTCACTGGGATGGGCATGCAGCGCTCTCCTGCTGTGAATCCTTTCCAGGGTTCCAACCGGCGGGGTTTCTTTCTGGGTGGCAAGCTGAGTCCTCTGGTATTGCTCAGGTGTGCCCTGTCCGTGGTGCTCTGGAGCGAGACCTGCGGGAACAAGGCACTCAGGAGCCCACCTAGGGTTGGGGTTAGGGCCTAGGGGCACAGCAGGCAGAGCTCTCCTGCTCTCAGTGCTTTCAGAACTCTGGTATTGCTCAGGTGGCCCAAATCCCTGGGGCATGGAGCCAGGGACCTAGGGAGAGACCTCTCAGAAGCCACGTGAGGTTTAGGGTTAGGGCTAGGGCCCAGGTGCACGGCACTCCTGGTCTGCAGGAACTGTGGGGAGCTTGGGATGGGCGGTGTGTCTTGAGGGCAGGAGTCAGGTTGAGTGTGAGGCTCAGGGTTTGCCGCCAGGCGGTGCAGAAAGTGCAGTTTCGCAGGGATGGGCGTTCAGAGTTCTGCTCTGAGCGCTTCCCGGAGTTCCCATTGGTGTGGTTTCCTGCTGGGTGGCAGCCCGAGTCCCTTGATAATGCTCGGCTGTCCCGAATACCTGCTGCTTTGGAGCAAGGCTCTTGGGAGGGATGCTCAGAAACCAACCTAGGGTTAGGCTTAGGGCTTAGGGGTATGACAGGCCTGATGTGCCGGCGCTGTGAATGGCTTCCAGTGGTCTGAGTTGAGGCCGT